CTGGCTGGCGAGCGGGGTCTGTGGCCGTGCGGGGGGACATAGGCGGGTCTTTCCATGGGGTGCGACGAGAGTCTGAGGCTCAGCTGCCGCGGGTTTGGTGCAGCCCTTTCGCATCTCGAGCATGACGAGCGCATTCGCGCGCGACGTCCCGTCAGCGACATCCTCCATCGCCTTTTCTGCTCCGCTGTTGCGCCAGGCGGCGGCGGGCGTGGGTGCAGGGGTTTCCTCTCGTCGACAACTGTCGTCTGTGCTTCAGTTGTCTGCGCTTCGACATCTCGTCTCTGCGTCCTGCGTCAGCAAGTGGCCATCGCCGTCTGCACTGAGCCCTTGTCGAACAGTTGCGCCATCGTGTGTGCTTCGCCGTCGTCGAAGAACTGCGCCTCGCCGAAGAACTGTGACCCGTCAAAGAGYTGCGCCATCGTGTGCGTTGTGCCCTCTTCTAGGTAAAGTGTTGTTCTGCCTGCCCACGTGTCGGGCGTCAGGCATGTTTGCCGGCCCATGGGAGCGGCCGCGTCRCGCCACCTGTTTCAAGTTGCGGGGACGGAGGGAAAAAATGTGTGGGGGACATTGGGCCACATGGTTTCTGTGTCCCCTTCTGATTCCCGCTCGTTCTTTCCTCGCGAGCGGCCCCATGATTCTTGCTTGCCATCATCATCATCATCATCACCTCCATCATCACCATCATTGTCGCCACCATCATCATCGTCATCATCATCATCATCATTATCATCATCACCATCATTGTCATCGTGATCATCATCATCTTCATCAACATTATCATCATCATCAACAACATCATCATTAACATCATCAACGTCATCAACACCGTCATCATCATCAACATCATCATCAACATCATCATCAACATCATCAACGTCATCAACAACATCATCATCATCATCGACATCGTCGCCGTCATCAAAATCACCACCATCGTCATCTTCATTGTCATCGTCATCATCAACATCGTCGTCATCGTCATCATCATCGTCATCATCATCATCGTCATCATCACCATCATCATCATCACCAACATCATCATCAACATCACCATCATCATCAACATCATCATCATCATCAGCGACATCGTCGTCCAGATCAACATCACCACCGTAATCGTCACCATCATCGTGATCATCACCGTCGTCATCATTATCATCATGTCGTGCCACGTGTCGCAAGTGGCTGGGACGGCGGGAACGGATGACGTAGACATCGGGGCACACGGTTTCCGTGTCCCGTTCTGCTTGTCTCTCATTCGTTCCACGCGACCGCCCGCACGATTCTTGTTTGGCTTGGCATTGAAGAAAAAGGGTCGTTGATCACAAGCTGAACATTGCAAACCACTCCCGCGCGGCCGAGGCAAACATGGAATCGCCTATTCCCAACAGAACACGAAACCCCTTCGAAACACTTCCCTCGCACGTTTGCAGTTCTCATCAGAGAGATTAGAGGTTGGTTATCACAAAGGAGACGCATTGGACTGCAAATCCACGACTGTTGGTTCGAATCCATCGTGGGGCCAACTGAACCAGCATGGACGGACAGTAGTCACGGCGGTGGTGGTGAGCGACAAGCGGGTGCTGCATGGGCTGCGTGCGACCGCTGTTGGTATTAAGCGTCGAGCGGTGGCCACGGTGGGAAGGATGTCCGCCGTCCACGTGGCGTGCAGTGAGAGGTATGGTATTCATAAACAGGAGGGGGTCATCGTTCCGTGTTCGTGTTCTCGAATCACTTAAGCCTCCCTCCCCGAAGAGACTATGGCGTCAATCCCGGGAGAGTTGTTGTCGTCTCCATCCCGCACACACAACGTGCATATGATCCACCATAGAGGCCATGATGGATGTTGAGCGCTCGCTCCTTGCGCTGGTTGTGAGGGATGCGATATCGCATTCAGTACGACAAATGCTAGGACTGTGCGCGTAACATTCGCGGGCTCCAGAACGAAGAATGCACACTTTGCATGCGCGCGATGGAGAACGCCTGCACCGCTCGCTGCAATGACGATGGAGTCTCTTCAGCGTGAGCGCCGCATGTTTCGTGACGACAACCTCGACACGAAAACATGGCCTCGTTCAATAACAAACAACCCGGCCGTCTCCGGGAAACGTCTCAGTCATCGAGGCAAGGTGGGTCGCCATTGTCACTGCAAGCGCGAAACCAACATCAGCCAAACAAAGAACGGCGCGTGGCGTATGGTTGCCTGGCGAGATGGGAAGTTCGGATCCCGGCGAACTACAGCAATCATGCGTAGTGCTCTCGCGGAAGCGGCAATTTGTTGCCGTCGCGCGGCCGCAGGGAGAGCACGCGCAGGTCGGAAAATAGCGCATGATTGTTGTAGTTTGTCGGGATCCGAAGTTCCCATTTCGGCAGCCTTTCACACGCGACTCCACGTTTTTTGTTTGGCGGTTGTTGGTTTCGCGTTCGTAGTCACAATGCCATCCCGGGTTGCCCTGATGACTACGTTTTGCGGGACATAGTTCCCAGCTTTCAGGCGTGGGGTCGATAGTTCATAACGTCATGCCAGTTGTCAGCGTGCGACGAAGTTCGGATCCCGGCGGACTTGCAATCTGAAGCATGCGAAGTCGCGAGCTGCTCCGATGATTATTGTTGTTTCGACCGCGTCGCTGAAATAAGACGCTTACGGTTTGCATAGATCTTTTCAGAGTCGTGGTTGCGAGACTGTTCTTTCGGTGGCGTTGCCGCAAAAAAACAGTCCTGTCAATGGGACCCCAGCAAAAACAAAGTGTTTAATGCTCCCGGTTGAACGCGGCAACTGATCTGAAGTTCGGATCCGGGCGGACTTCGTGGTTGGCACCTGTTCGTGGTCCCATGATCCTGGCTGTGGAACCTGCCATTGCCCGACTGCGAGCTCGCCTTGTCTGCAATACTAATTGGGGGTCCACCAGCCGTGGTCATTTTTTTTTTTGTGCTTGCAGTCATTGTCATCAAGAATGACAACATTTGTAACTGGATCGCCGCAAGTGCTCGCTTTGTGGATGAGGAGAATCGGGGTCCATGGGGTTCTATTGGGGGCCGCGATGCGCCAATTTCCGACATGGTGCATCTGCGACGACCATTTCTGTTGTGCGTGCTCTGTTGGAACAAACCCTTGTGAGCAGCAGCAGGGCCTCCCTGACCATGCGGCCAAGCCTAGCGTTCCTTCTGTGCAATTCCACACCGGTCATCCAAATATCCGTCGTCCCCCGCGCAAACCGGTTCCTAGCCAATCCAGCAAGCGCCAAGTTCGGATCCCGGTGGACTTTGAGGTCCCACGTAAATTTAACCGCCCTTTTCGACGGCCACGACTGTCGAGTGTGTTCTGATTATCAGAGGCCTCCGGACACGCAAAAGTGCTCGCATGAGGCCTGGAGCTTCAAGTGTGAGTTGATTGCGCGAGGACTGTGGGTGCGAAAAATTGCTCACCTTCTGAGATGCCGTTCGAGGGGTTTGTGGGGGTTGCCGACGGTGATAGCGGTCGTGTCCCTTGTCGGTGTGTCGTCGATCTTTGTTGCCCTCAAAGGGTTTTGACCGTCCCGGTGCGCGGATTCTTGTCGCAGACATGCTCGTGTTTCTGCGTGGTTTCTGGTTCGCGCTTTCGCACGTCGACGTTACCAGCGCGCGAATCGGGGGTCGCCTTGTTTGGAAGGGTTCGACTGGCCGAATCGGGGTTTGCAAGGGTTGCAGGGGGGGTCTTTCATCAATTTCTACATTTTTCTTGTCTGCGCAGTAGAGATGTCCGAGCTCGATGAACTCTTGCACTAGGGGTCAGTTTGGGGTCGCGCTGCGCCCAATTTTGTGGTGGTGCATCCACCGCTGCCCTTTGCTCTGCGCGTGCTATCATACAACGACAACTTCAGAGCAGCAGAGTTTTCCTTCTCTGCGGCCAAGCATAGCGTTGCTTGTATGCACCCGATGGCGCTCCGTTCCACTGACACCGGCCACGCAAAAACAGGTTCCTTGGTACTCCAGCACCGGCCAAATTCGGATCCCGGTGGACTTCGAGGCTCCGCGTGAATCTGACCGTTCTTTTCAACGGCTTGGACTTTTTCGTTCGTCTTCAATGCCGGCGGCCTGGTAGTGCGCAAAATTGCTTACCTTGTGAGTTGCCCTGAAAGGGGTTTATTGGGGTTGACGACGGTATCGCTGGTCGGGTTCATTTCCAGTGTGCCGTGGATCTTCGTTCATCGGCGCCCCAAAATGCGGTGCGCCCGAGCATCGCCTGCTTCTGTGCAAACGCCATCCACCCGTTCCAAATGCAGGCGAATCCACCAAGTTCGGATCCTGGCGGACTTTGAGGATCGACGCGAATCTATCCGTCCTTTGCGTGGCGCCTGGAGCTTCGAGTGTGAGTTGATTGCGAGAGGACTGTGGATGCGAGAAATTGCTCGCCCTCTGAAATGCCCTTCAAGGGGTTCATGGGGGTTGCCGAAAATAAGGGACACGGCCGTTGTAACCGTCGGCAACCCCCATTAACCCCTTCGAGGGCATTTATGAAGGCAAACAATTTTTTGCGCCCACGATCTTTGTTGCCCCCCAAGGTTTTTGACCGTCGCGGTGTGCGGAGTCTTGTCGCAGAATCGGGGGTCACCTTCTCGACTAGCCGAATCAATGTTTGGAAGGGTTGAAGGGGGGGATCTTTCATCCTTTTCTACATTTTTCTTGTCTGCGCAGTGGGGATGTCCGAGTTGGATAAGCTCTTGCGCTAGTACCTGTGAATGGAAAATTGCACGAGCTCGCTTAGACGATGGTGAGAATCGGTGTTTATAGGGGTCAGTTTGTGGTCGCGCTGCGCCGAATTGTGTGGTGGTGCATCCACCACTACCCTTCGTTCTGCKCGTGCTATCGTTCACCGACAACAGAGCCTTCCTTCTGTTCGCCCTAACATAGCGTTCCTTGTGTGCACCCACTAGCGCTACCCTCCACTGTCACAGGTCGCGCGAAAACAGGTTCCTTGCTACTCCAGCACCCGCCGAATTCGGATCCGGGCGAACTTAGAGGCTCCCCGTTAAATCTGACCGTTATTTTCAACAGCTTGGACTTCCCAGTCCGTCTTCAATGCCAGCGGCCTGGTAAAGCGGGAAATTGCTCGCCTTGTGAGTTGCCCTGAAAGGGGTTTATTGGGGTTGACGACCGTGTCGCTGGCCGGGTCCATTTCCGGTGTGCCGTGGACCTTCATTCATCGCCGCCCCGAAATGCGGTGCGCCCGAGCATCGCCTGCTTCTGTTTAAACGTCATCCACCCGTTCCAAATGCAGGTGAATCCACCAAGTTCGGATCCTGGCGGACTTTGAGGATCGACGGGAATCTATCCGTCCTTTGCGTGGCGCCTGGAGCTTCGACTGTGAGTTGATTGCGAGAGGAATGTGGGTGCGAGAAATTGCTCGCCCTCTGAAATGCCCTTCAAGGGGTTCATCGGGGTTGCCGAAAATGAGGGACACAGCCGTTGTCACCGTCGGCAACCCCCATTGACCCCTTCAAGGGCATTTATGAAGGCGAGTAATTTTTCGCACACACGATCTTTGTTGCCCCCCAAGGTTATTGACCGTCTCGTTGCGCGGAGTCTTGTCGCAGACATGCTTCTGTTCCTGCGTGTTGTCCGGTTCGCGCTGTCGCACGTCAATGTTCCAGGCGCGCGAATCGGGGGTCGCCTTCTCGACTGGGCGAGTCAATGTTTGGAAGGGTTGAAGGGGGGATCCTTCATCCTTTTCTATATTTTTTTTGTCTGCGCAGTGGAGATGTTCGAGTTCGATAAGCTCTTGCACTAGTACCTGTGAATGGGACACTGCACGAGCTCGCTTAGACGATGGTGAGAATTGGCGTTTATAGGGGTCAATTTGGGGTCGCGATGCGCCGAATTGTGTGGTAGTGCATCCACCACTACCCTTTGTTCTGCACGTGCTATCGTTCACCGACAACAGAGCCTTCCTTCTATTCGCCCTAACATAGCGTTCCTTGTGTGCACCCACTGGCGCTACCTTCCACTGTCACAGGCCGCGCGAAAACAGGTTCCTTGCTACTCCAGCACCCGCCGAATTCGGATCCCAGCGAACTTAGAGGCTCCCCGTAAATCTGACCGTTATTTTCAACAGCTTGGACTTCCCAGTCAGTCTTCAATGCCGGCGGCCTGGTAGTGCGAAAAAGTGCTCGCCTTGTGAGTTGCCCTGAAAGAGGTTTATTGGGGTTGACGACGGTGTCACTGGCCGGGTCCATTTCCGGTGTGTCGTGGATCTTCGTTCATCGCCGCCCCGAAATGCGGTGCGGTCGAGCAACGCCCGCTTCTGTGCAAACGCCATCCACCCATTCCAATACCTGCAGCCGCGCGAAAACCTGTTACTCGCTGCAGGCAAATCCGCCAAGTTCGGATCCTGGCGGACTTTGAGGATCGGCATAAATCTATCCGTCCTTCGCATGGCGCCTGGAGCTTCGAGTGTGAGTTGATTGCGAGAGGACTGCGGGTGTGAGAAATCGCCCGCCCTCTGAAATGCCCTTGAAGGGGTTCATGGGGGTTGCCGAAAATAAGGGACACAACCATTGTCACCGTCGGCAACCCCCATAAACCCCTTCAAGGGCATTTCAGAAGGCGAGCAATTTTTCGCACCCACGATCTTTTTTGCCCCCCAAGGGTTTTGACCGTCGCGGTGTGCGGAGTCTTGACGCAGACATGCTTGTGTTTCTGTGTGCTCTCCGGTTCGCGCTGTCGCACGTCGACGTTCCTGGCGCGTGAATTGGGGGTCGCCTTCTAGACTGCCCGGATCAATGTTTGGAAGGGTTGAAGGGGGGATCTTTCATCCTTTTCTACATTTTTCTTGTCTGCGCAGTGGAGATGTCCGTGTTCGATAGCTATTGCACTAGTGCCGGCGAATTGAACACGGCACGACCTCGCTTAGACGATGGTGATAATCGGTGTTTATAGGGGTCAGTTTGGGGTCGCGCTGCGTCGAATTGTGTGGTGGTGCATCCACCACAACCCTTTGTTCTATCGTTCACCGACAACAGAGAATTCCTTCTGTTAGCGTTATTTGTGTGCACTTACTGGCGCTACCTTCCACTGACACAAGCCGCGTGAAAACAGGTTCCTTGCTACTCCTGCACC